TATATATATATATATATATATGGAGGAAAATAAATTAGCAAGCTGACTTTGCGGGGGGCAGTGAGAGGGCCTGCTGGGGGTGTCCTTGAGGCTGGGTGTCTGAGCAAAAACTGGAGTGGAAGAGGTATCTATCTACAAGAAAGATTCTAGAGAGAAGGCTCCAGATAGAGGGACTAGCAAGGGTCTGAGGCTGGGGGAGAGGCAGAGGCAGAATGAGGGTGAAGCATAGGGGGTTAGCTTGTCATTAGACCCCCCCCAGACACACACACACACACACACACACACACACACACACAGGCCTACCGTGGCCAGCACTTTGCTAGCCTCAGTTGCCCTGAGGAGGGTCAGGCAGGACTCCTACTTCCTCAAACCCAGAGTCACTGACCACAGCTTTTCGGGGGATGGGGGGTGGCAGCGGTGGAGCCCAAGGAAAGTCAGGGACAGATGACTTCCAAGCTGCACAGGAACCATATGCTGCACAGACTCGGGAGAGGTGAAAGGCTGACACATGTTGAGGGTAAATGAGGAGATAGCTGAGCCAGCCTGGTCCCCGACAAGAAGCTGACACGTGGCTGGCCCTGGGGACAGGGCCTCTTTGAGGTAGTGTCTAACCTCTGCCCAGATGGGTGGGGTTGGTTAAGGAAAGGATCAGGTGAAGACAGCATGGGAGTCCTCCCTGCCTGTGAGGATCCTGGGGTCTGCCCAGCTCACAGCTTCCCTGGAGGCTAAGGCAGGATAAGTGGCTTGTCATTAACCTTTGAGACTTAGAGAGGTAGGCCAAATAAGGTTAAACAGCTGAGCCCAGAGCCCTCTGACCCAGAGGTAAGCACCATTCCCCAGCCCCAAACCACAGAGGATGGCCCAGCCAGGCCTTCCCAGAAAAGGGAAGCAGCAGGGGTGCCTAGGGAGGGCGGGGCCTGGCTGGGCAGCCTGACTCAGGCCAGGCACGCCTTCCTGGGAAGCCACGACCTGGGTAGGGGCAGCTTCCTGTCCTGGACTCAGGCTAAGAAGCTCAGGAGGCCTTACCCAGCACTGCCTTGTGACTCAGCCCCGCTGACACTGCCTGCACCTCAATCTGCCACCAGGACCATGCCCAGCGTCCTTTTGGCCTCACCCAGGATGCTTCAGCAGAAGCCAGAGGCCAGAGTTCAAGTGCCAGCTCTGTTGTGTTACCCCAGCTAGCTCCTGTTCTCTCTCAGTCTCTACTGAGAAAACAGCCTGTTGCAGGCCCACTGTGTGCAAGACCAGAAACATACTGTAGTTGTCCCAAGGCCTCTACCCTTTGCTGGTCTGCCTTCCTTTGGACCCCATGCTTCCTGTCTACCCCAGCCCTTCCCCTTGGGAGTCTAAATTTAGCCCCGCCTGCTGGTAAGGCCCCCACAGCTGTGCCCTAATCCAGCCAAGGGAAGCTGACACCAGTGAGCACATATATTTAGGGTGTGACGCAGGGGCCTGGGCAGCTGCCGGAGGGGACATGTAAGCCTGATGCCCCCGGAGCCTTTGACAGTCCTGCCCCCTCTAGTGTGTTGCCCCCCTCACACAACTACCTTGCCCTCCACAGATCTCCTCATGGAGCCACATCTCCTAGGTCCTCAGGCCCCTTTAAGCGGCTCCCACCTCCCTCCCCATCCCTCCAAGCTCAGTTTCCCCTTTTAAGGACATTGTGGAGACATTTCCAGCCTCCCAGAGGGCCCACTTTGGCTGAAGGGGGGAGGCAAGGAACAAGGCGGCCACATCTTTATTCTGAACATGGACTAAGTTCATCCATGAAGTTTGTCCCAGTTTGGCCACCTGTAGACCTCAAAACTTGTTCCCTCTCTCAGTGCCCTCCTGTACCACCCTCTCTGGCCCAAGCCATTCTGCCCCTTCCCCTAGTCCTGACCACAGCGGAAGAAAATGTGGGCACAGATTCTCGGGCCTGTGAGTCTCCCTTAGCCCCTCTCAACGGCGGTCCACATCAACTTGGAGGCCCCCAAGCTGTAAGGCACTGAAACTCTTGGGTCCATCCTACGTCGGGAGCCTCTCTAGCCATTGGATTGGGGGAGGGCAGAATGTCCTCAGGCTCAAATGGGTCAAGCCAATGGGGTCCACACCAATCATGGGGGGCTCCCCCAGGCCTCCCTTTCACTCACCATTTCTTGGTGCATTCCAATACAAGCTCATGGTAACAGGCCACAAACTGGAACTTGGCGGCCCGCTTGCCCACGCGCTGCAGGCGGTTCCACACCGAAGTCATGGCCCTCACGGCTCCCTCTGCCCACTTCTCAGGCCCGGGGCTCCGGTTTGACCCCCGCTGCTGGCCCAGCCCGGGTCCCCATGGTCTCCGGGGCTCCTTTCCACGTCGCCAGCTCTGTCTACCCGGTCTGTGCAGAGGTGTCTGTGGCTCGGACCCAGGGCCGTTCTTCCTGCGGCCGATGGGCTCCACCGGGTGGGTCTGGCTGAGTGCGAGCGGTCCCGGCGCCTTGGACTGGCAGAGCGGAGCGCAGAGCCCGAGCGCGCCGTTTCCTGGAGCCGCACCCCCAGTCCGAAGGCGGGCGGGGCTCCAGCGTGGGGCGGGAGCCGGCGGAGCGCGGGGGCGGGGCGACCCTGCTTCCGGGACCAGGCGTCGCGACCCGGGCACCCCGGAACTCGGGCACCCGGGATTGGGGTGGAGGGAACAACGGCTTGGCGCGCGGAGTCAGCGGGCCGGACGGGGGGGGGCTGAGCTCGGAGAGATGACACCCCTCAACCTGGGGCTACCCTGCCTGCCCGCAGCCTTGTGGTTCTGGTGCCCTGTTTCCCAGGCTTGCAAAGACCCAGAAAGGGGAGCCTTGTTTGGGTCCTGACAGTCTGGGCCAGAGCCAGCTGGCCTTAGCTCCGGGGTGGCAGACTCTTGGTGACTCCCACGTCTTAACTGAAGGAGGAAAGCACAGAACGGCCAGCCAGCCTCTGTGGCTCTGCCGGTGGGCTGCAGCTTCTCAAAAGTCTCAACTTGTTACAAGCAGCTACGGGTTCGAATACTGACTTCCAATCGAGTGCACTACCTTGGGTAAAGTACTATTGCTCCGAGCCTCAGTTTTGACATCTGTTAAACGGGGGTAATTATAGTTCCATCTTTTAGAGTCATAGGATGATCCTAGGAAAGTGGTTAGCACAGGGCCTGATTTTGCCATGCGTCATTAAATGCAATCCGTTATCATGGATGGAGAAAGTGTACATGCGTGTTTACTCTCTTTCCCTGGGGCGGTTAGCTGTTGTGTGAACACCTAGATTAGTCCTTATCACTCACCCTCCCTCCCTCCCAGCATGTTGATGAGCCTCTGCAGGTGTCTCATGCCCAGGTAGAGCTGCCCTGGAGTCACGCATCGTTCGCTCTCCCTGTCAGCCCGGGCCTTTGAGCAAGACCTGTCATCTTCCACGAGTGCCAGTTTGGTTGCAGCTCCAAGAGGCAAGTGACTGTGGGCAGGCACTGCGGGCTTCTTCCGGGGGGGGGCTTGACGCCCACTTTTGGCTCTCCATCTAGCCGTGTGGTCCTCGGTTTCCTCTGAGGAAGCCCTTTCCATCGAACCCTGCAGGTCTCTAGTGCTGGAGGAGGGTTAGGGGGATCAGAACGGGGCTGAAAAATAGAAGTGCCCGAGGCCCCAATTTGTCCGGAGCCCTGCTCGGCTTTCTTCCTGGGCTTCTCTGGGCCGGAAACTTGTTCCCTTCCTTGGGCCTCAGCACCTCTCCCCCCACCCCTCCCTCTTCCACCCGGGCCCTTCTAGGAGCTTTCCCCTCAGGGCGAGGGGCCCCGCACTACACCGGTCTGGCCCACCCATTTCCTGTGCCGCCCCAACTCCGCCCCTACTCGAGGTGGAAAGTTTCTCTCCTCAAGATGGGCGGCTCCTTCTTCCTTCCCTCCGGGCCAGAAAGATGCAAAGTGGAGGGACCGGAGCTGGGTTCCAGGGCCACTGGCCCGAGGCTCCTCGGCACTGACACAGCCACAGAACCGGGCTCCAGCGCCGGGAGCGCTTCCAGCCCCGCCGGGGGCAGGATTCGCACCCTGAGCCCGGAAGCCTTTCGCGGGAGGGCTCTGGCGCCACCTGCCGGCGAAACGCGGACATCCACCTGAAACCACTGTTTCCAACCCCAGTACCAATCAGGCAGTCAGAAGACAGAATCGTTGAAAGTGTTTATTTATCTACGCATCCAGGAACTGGCTCCTAAACTTAAATATCCAGCATGGAGGCCTTTGCTTTTCTGGTCTTGGGTGGTGGCAGGGATAGGTCCTGGAGCCCTTATGCTGGGCAGTGGAATCCGGGACTGCGGGTAGGGATGCCCCTGAGCCAGCAGCTGCAAGTGGCAGCAATAGATGAAAAAAGATGGGAGTTAGGCACTCATCCCAATCCCAGAGACGCAAGGGGAAGTGCAAGCCACTTTTGGCCCCGTGGTCAGACTGCGGGCTGGCCAAGCTAGGGGTGCACACGAGGGAGAAGTGGAGGCCCAGTGCAGTGGGCAGAGGCTGCAACCTTGGCTGGTTTGCCTAATGGGCATATGCTTTGCCCTCCTGCAATGAGGTGAGGTGGTACCGGTAAAAGAGCAGGCACTGTCGACTACGGACTTGCTGAAGGGCAAGTTTTGAGCCTTTTGTATGGGTGCATTCCCATCTACCCGCCTCTTCAGAGGCTGATCTGGAAGGCATCCTGCAGCCACTGATCACGGGCATTGTGTGTCTGGGGCACAGTGAGGGGTGGAGGGTCGGGGGGCAGGCTGGCATCAGGAGGCTCATCATCATCAGACAGGCCGGCATCAGGTGGGTAGGAGCTGTCTGAGTGCAGGGAGGACGACAGGTCCTGGCACAAGCTCAGGTCTTGGCACAGATGCTTGTAGTCCTGAATCGATTCATACAGGCCCCACAACTGGCACAGCAGAGACATATCCAGCTGCCGAAGCCCCACCTGCAGACAACTGACAGTGGGCTGGAGTAGGGGAGTCCAGGACCCCAGCCCCAGCCTCTTGAAATCCAAGGTCCCCATCCCAGGCCACAATCCAGGCCAATCTTCCTGTGCCTTCCTAAGTTAAGAGTTTTGGGGACATCAGATGGCATCTGCCAACTATGGAACTTTTAAGCAAGTCACTGGCTCTCATTTGTACAGTGAGTGAACACGACCCCCAGGGATGAGATCAGGCAAGTTTTTAAAATGCAATACTTGACACACTGTTGCTCTTACGGCTCTAAACCCCAGTAATTAGAATGCTTTCTGCAGGACCTGAGACTCAGGACCCCGGGCAGTCTAGTCTACGCCCCTGCCCCGGCAGCACCCTCCCCACCCCGGCGGGGCGCCCCCACTCACCATCTCCTTGCGCAGCGCGGCCAGAGCCGAGTCCAGGTTGACCGGGCGGCGCGGGCCCGCGGCAGGGCCGGAGCTGGCG